AAAAAAAAAAAAAAAATATTGGACAGGATGCCAGCACTGCCATTTGATGTTGGATATTGTTAACACACAAAATTGTACAAGGTGCTGTGAAATACAAGAAAAATGTTCTGTATCCACCACAGCTGTATTTTAAAAAATGTATTTATAATGACACCTCACTAACTGAACTGAAAGCATTCATAAGTCTGCTGCAGGAATTTCTCATTGTAATTGCAGGACTGTAAAAGACTTATGGAAAGGTGATGAGTCAAAATATGGCATAAAGCCAGGCATGGTGGCACATGCCTGTGATCCCAGCACTCAGAAGGCTGAGAGCAGGAGGATCCTTGCGAGTCTGAGACCAGCCTGGGCTACAAAGTGAGCCCAAGGCCAGCCTAAACTGTATAGGGCGACCCTATCTCAAAAAGACAAAAAAAAAAAAAAAAAAAAAAAAAAAAAAAAAAGGCATAAAAATGTATGCACTTGTAGATGCTAAGACTTATCATGCTTTCAATTTAGACATTTATCCTGGAACTCAGCCATCAGGTCCTTATTCACATAGTAATACACCGAATGATGTTGTGATATTGGACCCTATCCCAAACTAAACAGAATGTGATATTCAACAATGGTTTGCTGTTTCCAACTGACATTACATTTGCTAACACAGCACAAGTTGACCAACTCAGGAACTGAATGCAGGAACAAAGCAGAAATTCCAAATGAAATGTTGCAATTTCAAACCAGAGGACTGTATAATACAATCTTTGGATTTCAGAAAGATTGACATTAGCCTCGTATATGGCAAAGAAAAACAAACTGGTGCTGCTGCTGTCAACATTGCATCAGGATGGAAATATTCTTAGGGAAACCTCAACAAAACAGAAGTCTGAGATGGAAACTTTCTGCAATAAAATCAGAGGCAGAGTACATGTTGATGAGTTATGCAGCAACTATGATGTCACTCAAAACACAAAGAGCTGGCCAATGGTTGTGTTTTACTTGATCCTAAACATGTGTGGCATAGTTTCATAGTTTACAAAGAAAGTAACAAGTTCAAAGTACCACAGAGGAATTTTTTTAGAGGATTGGGACTTGAGAGATCATTTATAACAGAGGAAAAACGTTTCTGCCTAGGGAACTATGTAAAAAAAATTGTAGACTGACAGGTGAACAGGCAGATGCAACATCCCAAAACCTACTATGACAACAGGAAAATCAAAAAAAAATGTCAACTGTGCCCTAGAAGAAAGGAAAGGAAAACAAAACACACATGCTGTCAGTGTAAGCGATACCTGTGGATGGAACATGAAATTTTCATGTGTGAAGACTGACTTGGGTGTGACAATTGTTTTTTTTTTTTTTTTTTATTGTCTTTTTAAGACAGGGTCTCATTATGTAGTCCGAGCTGGCCTTGAACTCACAGCAAACTTCCTGCTTCAGCCTCCCAAGCGCTGGGATTACTGGCATGCACCACCATTCCCGGAGAAGGTGTGATGAAGCAAAGATTATTTTTGTTGTAGAGTTCTCTTGGTATTTTCATTGTAGATCACATTGTAGATCACATAACATTTCTAATGTTATCTCTTAGGTTTTGTAAGCAAGTGCACAGCTGATGTGAAAATGCTGATGTGTGTTTTACACTCTTTACATATTTGGTATTTTATTTTAGTGATATCTTATTTCCCTGCTAAATGTATATTGTACAACATGGTAGGAAGCTCCCGAGAAAACAGGAAGAGAGGTGACAAGAATGGCCTGCCACAGCTGGGGACATAGCTCAGTGGCACAGCACCTGCCTGGTAAGCACAAGGTCCTGAGTTCAATTCTCGGTACCAAAAAAAAAAAAAGGCCTGCCACGGAAAGGAAAGCTAAGTGAGCATGCTATCAGGGTAAGTGAGATGTGTGCATGGAACACGCAGTTGCCATGTGTGTAGACTGCCTTGGGTGTGATAGTTGAAGCAAAAACTATTTCTGTGGTAGACTTTTGTGTTTAAATTGTAGCTCACACAGGTTTTTCTGATGTTGGCTCTTCGGTTTTGTAAGCAAATACACAGCTGATGTAAAAATGTTGATGTTTATTTTTAAAGCACAGTACATATAAAGAATTTAATACTTTATTTTATTGATATTTTGTGTTCCTGATTACTACACATTGGATAATGAGAACCTCCTGACAAAAGAGCAAGCCCAGCGAGATGTCAGGTATGTCCTACAAAAAGGCCAGGACAGCAAAACGCACGTGTTGGCAGTGTAAGTGACATGTGTATGGAATGTGCTGTAGTCATGTGTGCAGACTGCTTTAGGTTTGATAACTGAAGTAAAGATTTTTTTTTGGTAGAGTGCTGTTGGTAGCTTCACTGTAGTTCTCCTAGGAATTTCTGTTTTTAGACTTTGTACACCAAAGACAAGTTGATGTTGAAAATTTTGATGCTTTTTAATAAACTCAGTATCAAACTGGAACACTTCATTTTTGTGGTATTTTTTTCTGTTAAGCACTCATTAATATAATGAAACCCATAAAATTAAAACTAGTAATTTATTACTAGTTTTAGAAATTATAGAAATTATAGAAATATTCTAAATAATAAAATGTTTGACACACCTATGCTTCTGTGCCTTCATGACAAAATTTACACATGCCCCTTGGGTTTTTAAGGGAACTCACTTCCTACATTCCATTTCCACCATGTAATTTGGTCAGAATTTCATGTCAACTTTTGTCAATTTGATGGTTCAAAGTTTGTATGTCAGCATGGTCCTGATTTGTACTTCTCCAATTACTGCAGTGATTGGCAAGTCTACTGTTTTTGTGACATGCTTGTTTCTATCTTTTGATCTTTGCTATTTTTCTTTTTAATATCAACATGTGTTATTAGTCCAAGGAGAAGGCTAACCCGGCACACGCAGATTCCTTCTGGGAATTCCCACAGAAAGGGACAATTCCATCGAGACCTACACCCACAGGACTACTAAGGTTCATCAAGGCAGAATCCACGAGCTGCAGCAGTGTCTGAGAATATGAACGGTTGGCCAAACCATCCATTCCAAGGCTGCCAGGACATGAACGCTATCCAACTGTATCTCCACTGTGAAGGTGACAGTCACTGAAGAAATCTGGACTTGTGGCTCCTTCAGGGGCAAGTAGTCCATCTCATCTGTAGTAAATGGCGGATTTTTCGAGACTATCTCCTTCATGGATGTATGAGTCAATTTAACCATCCCCATACAAGCCCTGCTCACTCTCATTCAGCTGACAATTCTCTACCATCTCCAGCCACTGAAAGTTATGCCAGCAAAACTTTTCCCTATTTTGTTGTTTGAGATAGAGCCTCACTATGTGGTTCAGGCTGGCCTTGAACTCACAGTGATTCTCCTGCCTCAGCCCCCCCAAGTACTGGGATTACAGGTGTGCACCACCACATCCGGCTACTCCCTCTAAATTTTCTTAGCCCATTCTTCCTTGTCTTCCACTGTAATGTCTAATGTACCTTTCGGGTTTCATTACTTTTATCATCCACCAGATCTCTGAGATGTGCTGGAGCCTGTGTTTCTTTGATTATGACATCTCTCTTGTCTTGGTGGAAAACAATCTGGTAGAAGACATAAATTATCTGACAAATTCATCATCTCATTGAGCATTTAGTAATTCAGTAAGGGAAGGGATTATTCCAGATTTAGCTAGCAGTGCAGCACAAGAGTCATCCATAGATACAGTTCCAATCATTATACACACTTGTAAAACAAGGTCATCTCTGCAGCACCTAGCTTTAGTTTATCCTTGAGGTATGGACCCAACTTGTACTCCTCAAGAACTAGTTTCCAGTCTGAGTCAAATGGAGATTTGCGAGCATTCCCAAACATGTGGTCACAAACTCCTCTTCATCATTAGAGATCTGGGCTGCAAGCTCGCCAACATAATCAATAAGCTCATTTTTAGTTAGTCCATCATCATGGGAAATATTTCTAATCATTTTCATTAGCAACAGATCTGTAATCTTCAGAGTCCCTTTCAGAAGCACCTTCAGCCCATATCCTTCGCAGATCATGACTGTTAACGGATCGTTTTTTTTTTTGTTTGTTTTTTTCCAGAAATGGAAATCAAACTCATGACCTCCCGCTTGCCAGGCAAGTGCTGTGCCACTGAGCTAAATCCCCAGCCCCTCAGATCTTCTTGTTAACAGCATGATTAATACACAGAAATGAGTCTCAAATCAACTGCTTCATGTGAACAAAGAGCACTTCCGTTAACCGTGGTACACAGTCCACGCAGGCAGACGGTGCTCTGAAGCTATCACCCAGGCTTACGTGGTAAAGCACAGATGAACCATTTTATTCCTCAGCCCTGCATCAAAGGCCAGGTTTAGTAAAAGCCGAATTGTATCTGGGAAACCTCCATGTCAGCTTTACCCCAGATTTTCAACACTTTTCATTTCCACCATATCATTTTTATGTTTTGTTTTTGTCTTTTTGAGAGAGGGTTTTGATATGCAGTTCAGGCGAACTCACTTTGTAGACTAGGCTGGATTTGAATTCGAACGGATCCTTCTGCCTTAGCCTCTCATGTGCTGGCATTACAGGTGTGTGCCACCACGCCAGGCTTCCACCATATCATTCTTATTCTCCATTAAAATGCTGAGTTTAAGAATGCTACATCTAGAATAAACAGCTCAAAACAGACCCGGTCAAGAGTCTTCACCCAAATGTGAACTACATTTTAATCATCTTCAATTCTGTGGAAGTATCCTCAGCTAGATTCAAAAGCAAGTAAAGAGCTACTCCAAATAGCTGTTGTTTTACCACAAGCCCCTGGTATTTTCTGAATGGTTTCTCATAATCCTTCCTCAAGGTTTGGTTTTTGTCTTCATCAACAGCCTTCTCTTCTAGTTCTTGCCAAAGATCGTGTCTTTTTAACCCATGATCAATGATAGTCATACACAAAGCTCCAATTTTATAGTGAGTGATTATTCATGAAACTGAGAAAAGTTGGAAAAGCAGAGATGTAAATTATGCTTGTAGCTAATACAATGCTTTGCTTCTAGTTGTCTTGCTAGGGCATGGAGGGCACTTTCATTTAATTGTAGCTCTTCCAAGTTTCCCGGATTTTGAGCATGCTGCAGGATCAAAGCAGAACCCTAGCTTTGTCAGGAATATCTTCACAGAATAACTTGGTGTATTTGTCCATGTTGTTTATGCTGCCAACTTCATCAATCTCTGTTCTTTCAGAAGGTGGGTCATCAGGTTTGCTTGATTTTTCTTCTCTTGACGGTGAATCACAGCGGATCTACAGACAGAATAGTTGTTCTTCACTTCGTTTTGAAGGATGAGTAAGTTTACACTCCTCAACCCCCTTCATGCCAGGAAGTTCTGCCTGCGGTGGCACTGAGAACCTTCAGATCCACCACTTTTGGCATTCCTTTCCTTTTCCCAAGATGAGTGCAGGTTTCTCCAATAGTGGCTTCCACTGTGTACTGGACAGACAGGTAGGCCTTTTTCAGATGTACGTACATCAGTCTCACCTCCTTTAACTTTCCTTTGGAGGTATCAGGTGCATGTTCCTTCTACGGTGGCGGCAGTGGTGACTGAGAGGCTGTGGGGCTACTTCTGGGACTCAGGTCCAGCGCCCTCAGAGGATCAAGCCCCTGATTCTCTGCAGGTGGGATGCAGTCACCGCCAAGTGCTGCAGTTACCATGGTGAGGCCTGGGCTCCTCCCATAGCAACATCCCCAAACGCAACCGCAGCAGGGACTTCTCAAGGTGCATGCACCTGCGAGGGCTCTATTTTTCTTTGTGATCATATATGTCGTGGAAACTGTATTCTTAGTTCGTGCTTTCATGGTGTTTTCTAATAAACAAAAGTTCCTTATTAGAGCAGAATGTATTAATCTTTCTTGCTTTTGAAGACTTTACTCCTTTTACAAAAGATTCGTTCTGACACCTCACATTTAGTCCATTTGAAATTTTTAGTATAGTGTAACAGGAATTTTTTATTTTATTTTTTTAGGCAGGGCCTCCACCTGTGGTTCAGGTAGGCCTTGAACTTGAGGTAATCCTGTCTCAGCCTTTCAAGTGCTGAGCAATGTCTGGCTTAAACTTTCTTCAGGAAATTATTATTCATTGACTGTTCTTGATCCTTTGTTTTTCTATACAGATTTAGAGTGAGCTTGTAGTTTCACAAAAATTTATTTGGATGCTCATTGGTTCTACACAGCAATTTGGTGAAAACATTACAAATGTATATATATATATATATATATATATATATATATATATATATATATATTTTTTTTTTTTTTTCCCCCGGTACTGGGAATCAAACTCATGACCTTGCACTTGCCAGGTAGGTGCTGTGTTACTGAGCTAAATCCCCAGCTCACAAATGGATACTTCTACACTTGATTTCCCTTACATCTCCCAGTAAAACTTTTTCTTACATGTCTGGAGTATCATTTAATAGATTTATTCCTATGTAACTTTTTCTGCTAAAATGGATTTTTACAAGGTGCTTTTTTTTTTGTCTTTTTGAGACAGGGTCTCGCTATGCAGTTCCGGCTGGCCTTGAGCTCACTCTGTAGCCCAGGCTGGTTTCAAACTTGCAATGACCCTCCTGCCTCAGCCTCCCAGGTGCTGGGATTACAGGTGTGTGCCACACCTGACACAATACGAATTCTTTATGTTTGATGATGATACATAGCCACATATCAACTTCTGTGTTATCTTCTATCTACTACTACTAGCAATTGCAGTCTTCAGTTTTCTAAGTAAAGAAGTCTCACTGCAAATAAGGGCAGTGGCCAGTGCCTGTTTTCTGTGCCACTGGAAATGACAGAACACAGTGCTGGAAAAGAGGAGTAATGATAGGTATCCTAGCTCTACCCCCAATTTTACTTAAATTTTGTAATTTGTTTTTTAGACCAGGTCTCACTATGCAGTCCAGGCTGGCCTCAAACTCACGATCCTCTTGTCTCAAGTATCTAGCAGGCACCAACATGCCCACCTCCCCTAATCCCAATTTTAATAAGTGCTGAATGAGAATGCTTCCGGTGATTCCTCTGCTAAAGGATGATGTAACTGCTTTTAGATCTTAGTCTGTGTTTTGGCTGGCTGCATTCTTACAAATACTTTTACTTTCTACATAACCTAGAATGAGAATAGCAATGCCTCTCTGAACATCATAGAAATTCTACTTTATCATGATACTGGGAAGCATACCATTCAGAGTTCTGGCCCTCAGATTTAGAAGTTATTGAAATATGTAACTCTAATTTCATATATATATATACAATTTGCATACTTATTCATTTTTTAATGATTTTAAAAGTTTAATGTGTGAAGTTAGGATCTCAGAGAAATGTTGTATTTTAAAAGATGGCTGAAAGAGAAATGCTAATTCTAAACTTAAAAGTAAGGTTATGATTTGTGAATTGGGATTTACTCCTTGAGTTTCTCCTATTCATTCCTTCATTTGCTCTTGAAAGATTAACAGTACCTACGAAAATTCTTTCTGAATCTGTCAGGCACCTTTTTCCTGGTCAATGTATAATGGTAATTTCCCTATCTTCAATTTGTGTTACAGGGAGAGCATGGATTATTTTATACAGTATTTCTAAAATATTCCATTTGTAATTTTTTGGTAATGACTATCAAATGGCTAATAATGTTTTATTCATTTTCGAGTTATGAAAAGTTAGGTCCTAAATTAAAATAACCCCAACAGGAGAAAAGTACATAAAATACCAGTCCTTGTACTTTTTTTTTTCTTTTTGTCTTTTTGAGACAGGGTCTCGCTCTGCAGTTCAGGCTGGCCTTGAGCTCACTTTGTGGCCCAGGATGGCCTCGAACTCGCAACGATCCTCCTGCCTCAGCCTCCCGAGTGCTGGGATTACAGGCATGCGCCACCACGCCCGGCCTCAGTCCTTGTACTTTAATATTAATATTACTGCACATAATACTACTATTCATTATTAATAGTACTTCAGCTATGAGACCTTTAATATTAATATTACTGCACATTAATATTACTATTAATATTACTATTAATTAATTATTAATATTACTTCTTCGGCTATGAGGCCTTTACTGCTTTTCCCCGCACCTTGCTGTCCTCAGCGTCCTAGCAGAGTGCGCATTTCACCAAGTATCCGCTCAATGAACAACACTACTCACATCACAGACACAGGATATAAAATTTCCCCATTTTTCCTGGTGGACAATCTGCTGTGAATTTTCATGGTTTTAGCCTTTCCCAGATGAACAGTACTTGCAAGAAGTCTCATGAAATTAATCTTTGAGATCTTAAACATAGCAAAGCTAATGCGGATTTTAATCACTAGGTTGTTTCTAAAAGGAAATAATACTTAAAACGAAAGTTACAAATTTCAGTCTATTTAAACTTTAATTTGTGCATTTGTGGTAATTTATGACTGCAAAAAACACTTCCTAGAATGACAAACAGGCACATTTCATTTGAATGTATAGTGTACCATTCTAAATATTCTAATTTCCTTACAAAGTGCTTGAGCAGTCACATACACATACAGTAATAGCAAAATATATTTACACTCTTAAAATTTTTAATCTAAAATATATATATATATACTTTAAACTACAGAAAAAAATTAGTGCTTTCTTCAGCTTAATTGTGTGAATATACCCTGCCCTCTAATTTTTTTAGTGATTGACTTCAGTTAAAAATTTCTGTACACTGTGTAATTATAAAATGCTGTCAGTTTTTAAAATGCTAAAAGCCCATTTCAGACATTGCTTTCTAGGCATAGTTGAGAACCAGATAGGTGAGCAGACTGTACCTCAAAAGCATTTAGTGTTTTATTTTAATGCTGTTAATGATGTTTAAATTAAAACTATAAAATTATGTTTATGTCTTCTATTATCTTTTCTCAAGGAAGTTTAACTGGCATTTAAAAATAACCTTAAATAACACATTGTTCCTCTTTTTTACAAGATTTTCTCCCAAAGGATCTTGAGTAATAATTTTAAAGGTAATATGAATTACCTCTGGACAGTTTTAATTGTTCTCAGAGTACAACAAATACAGGTTAACACATCCTAACAAGGCCGAAATATTTATAAATGCTTTAAGCTCAACTCTCCACAAATCACTCTATTTTCATAAGATCTAAATGAATAATTTTAAAGAGATGAGCTCACTGTGATTAAATGGTTAATTCAGCATGGTTAGTTAACAGCTGGTTATTCCTGAGGTATAATGACCCTAACACGCTAAGCACAGGATCAAAGATGTTATTAAGAGAAAACAATTAAGACATGGACCAGGAGGGCAAAAAAAAAGGCAAAATAAAACAAAAAGTCCAAGCAAATGGAAAGTCATGATTTGTAAAACATATACTGTAAGAGTGTTAAAAGCCACAAACGGATCCTCCTGAAGAATTGTAAAAAGTATTTGATCAAATTATTTGAGACTTTTGAGGTACAGCTTTAGTGTTATAATATTTTTTTTTATAAAATATAGACTGTTTTATCAAAAATATTTATACATTCTGTTACAATATATTGCTTTTGCCCTCAGTAACTGCCAATATAAAATCTGGATCCAGTGGCCTAAAATATACAAATGCACTTAATGTAAATGCTGGAGTTTGAGGTGTCTGCTTGGCCACTGTACGAAAGTGATGAAGTGGTGGAATTAAATAAGAAGCCTACATTACAGAATACATTACAACTTTCACATATACATGTCATAGCATGTATACAATGATAATCCCTATGATTTAACAAAGATACAGTTTGCTTCTACAGCAGACACAAGAACAAATGGACTAGGTTGATAACTGTAGAATACATATCGATAAAGGGACAATCAGCTCACTGACTTTGGAAGATAAAACCGAACATACTGGGTTTCTAGACTTTGGGAATGCATCAGGTAACACAGTATCTTGGTTCAGGCTGATTCGATGTCCTCAGTCTTAGCATTTTACGTAAATGCTGACATTCGTATTTCAGCATTACTAAACAAGAAACTGTTTGGCAAGTAGCTCTGTTGGAAAGCTATGAGGCTCTGTGACATAGTTGGTAAAGATAAGGCAATAAAGTTTTCTTCAGATAAATATAGAAAATTTATAAAAGACATCAATTCATCTTTTTTTTAAAAAAGTCAAGCCACCAAAGGTATATAAAATGCCACTACGTTTGTGATATTATGGTAATTTCTTTAAAAAAATAAGAGCAGTTGCCTTAGTCAAACAAAATCATAGTTTATGTGAACAGAAATAGCATTCCAAGCTCTAGTGTTTTGCTTTTGAAAACATAGTTAAGTGATTAATTTTCCTTCCACTGAAGGCAGGCATTATGGCAAAGACAGGGACTACAAAAGAGTGGTTCTTTTTCTTGTTATTTTTTAAAAAATAGACTATGGATCCAAAGGTATTCTGTATTCCTCTGTGACGGATTTTCAAGGCCAATGTTCATTCAGCCTAAGCTCCACGAAACTGTTTCCAGTGCTCAAATTTATGTTGAAAAGCATTAAGGAGCCACTTTTCAAGAAGGTATTACAATAGTACTTTTAAACAAATCTTCATGTGTTTTTTTAAAAAAAAAAACTCAGAAGCTACTGGTGGCACAGAGAGCAAATGAAGAGTTGCTGTTTTGAGAGGTCTTCTTGTGAGACAGTCTGCTTGGTTTCACAGTATCTAGTACATTAACACCAATCGGCGATGTAATCAAAGTCTCTAAACATTTCTTGCTCCTCTTCTGAAAGTATCCTTGGTTCTCGAGGTGGAGTCAGAATAGGTGCTTCTGAGGTAAATTCATCATCAAAATTACTAACATCCTCCCGTCCTCTAATGGTAGGGACAAATGGCGGCTTTAATTTTTTGTCCATCAAAGCATTCCAATCAATCAGCTGAATCACAAAATATGAAATGACCTGGTTAGTTTCCTACTTTTGTTCAAAAACAAAACAGAACAAAATTTCTCATCTTTATCACACTCACCCGGAAAAATGGATGCTTCTTTACGTCCTCTGCGTCCTTCTCACCAGCTCCAAGGCGCCGCTCAGGATTTCTTCTCAACAGCTGATGTAATATAAAGTAAGAAAGTTAAGACCACAGACTTCACTGCTACACATTCTCGTAACTTTCAAAGATTTACATTTGTCTGTAAAATTTATATAAGTTATGCGACAGTTTATGAACTAAAAAACAACTTCTGAAGTTCTACAGGTACATTTCCTTCAATAGAAAAAAATGTAAGCAGCGTTTTAGAAAAAGTTCTTACCCTTCTCATTATGGAAATGGCTTCTGTTGATAAGAACCTGGGGTACCTTACTTCATCATTTACAATACTGTCAAAAACCTCCTCTTCATCATCGCCAGGAAAAGGAGACTAGGAGAAAGTTTCAACATAGTAAAATCTCGTCATCTATTCAAAGTACAACCAAGATTTGGGCAGTGAAAAACAAAAGAAATGACAACCAAACCTCCACACACACACAGGAACTATGAGAAGTCACAATAATTAATGTATCTATTACCTACAGGGTAAGTTATATCCTGCAATCTCTGTTTTATAGATCCTACATAAACTCATGAAAATTGTATCATTTTTCATTTAATTTAATTCTATTGTACTCCATCCCATTTTATTTCATTCATTTATTCATCCATCTGGACATCAACATTCAAGATCGCCTACTGAACAGCAGGGAGTATTCCACAGACACAATTTTCAGAAAGTTCAACCTTGTAGAGACAGAAGAAAATGCGTAATGTAAATGTGGCTATGACAGACAGAAGCAAAGTCTGTGAAGAAACATCAGATATGGATGTGCTTTGAATTTCAAAGTCAACAGCAAATTAATCATGGCAAAAATGCAATTAGAGAGCCAGGAGTGGTGTTGCACACCTGTAATCCCAGCACTTGGGAGGCTGAGGTAGGAGGATTGCTGTGAGTTTGAGGTCAGCTGGGGTTACCTAATGAGGCCAAATCCATCCTGAACTACATACTGAGATGCTGTCTCAAAAAACCAAGAAAAAGGAAAACACACACACACACACACACACACACACGCGCGCGTGTACAACTAAAGATTAGTAGGTAAAATGACTGCACTAAGAAGCAGCTGCCAACGAAGTTAAACTGAAAGGACACAAACAAGCATACACTGCCAGGCAAATTTAATGTTCCAAAACAATAGAGAGGATACTTCAGTAAGCACAATATAAAAATCATTATCATAATGACCTTGAAGAAAGTAGCTGCCTTTGTGTTCAATATGACAATGTGATGTACTACGGTATAAACACTTCACAGTGATGCTGACTCCTTAGCTATCAAGTATGATTTACTACCTCTGCATTTCAGATGGGTTACAGTTTACTCAGTAATTTTCAAAAAAAAAAAAAAAAAAGAAAAAAGAACAGAAAAAACAAAAACGAAGCCTGGTGTGGTGGCACAAGGTTGTAATCCCAGCACTCAGAAAGGAGGCTGAGACAGGTGGAGTGCTGCGAGCTGGAGGCCACTCTGGCCTACAGAGTGAGTTCAAGGGCAACCTGAACTAGTAAGTCAGATTCTATTTTTTAAAAAAGTAATTTTCGGGGCTGGGGGTTTAGCTCAGCGGCAAAAGCGCCTGCCTGGCAAGCGCAAGGTCGTGAGTTCGGTTCCCGGTACCGGAGAAAAACCGAAAAAAAAAGGAAAAAAAAAAAAAAAAAGTAATTTTCAAAATCAGTAAGTGTTTAAGTATCAGTTTTTTCTAAATATCATTTAATATTAAATATCAACAAAACAAGTCAATATTTCTAACTATTTTCTGTATGGGGAATTATAACCTTACTAAGCCTTATTAAGCTGAATTTGGCTGCTTGCTTCCTGCAAAGTATTTAAGAACAAAAGTCAAGCAGACAATGGAAAGGGAGGAATCTTTAATCTAAAAAACCATGAAGAATGAATTCAGAACCCAATTCCCTAAGGCTGAGCTGTCAATCTTACTGGTCACAACTAAGACGATTTCAAACCTTTCAGTTACCAAAACCTTAGATTATTCATTCAGTCATTCAAAATACATAACTCAAATATTTACTAAGTGGGACAATCTCATTTCTTTCAGGAATTGAAAAAGTAAGTCAAGGGAAAATTCTATTTCACAAGGCTTCTCAATCAGAATTTCAAATGGAAATACAGGAAGAGGTATTTTGTCCTCTGCCTGAACAATTTTGTACTTGAAAGCTGTCACTCCACAAGTCTCTCAATAGCAAAGAAGCATCTATGTGTTTGTCGCAATGTTCAAGAACCTTGTGTCCAACAGGGCTAACAACAGAAGTCACTAGGTGAGTCTGAAGCACACAGAAGAAGAACCAGTAGTCTGTTCAGGTGTCAGCTTTCACAGCACCCAATGCGAGCGTCCAACATTACTTTAAACCTCTTTGGCCCATTCACTCTCATTCTCATTTGGCATAGGAAAAAGTGGGCCTGGCAGTTATTCCTGGAGTCTTTCCAGTCCCCCGAACTAGCAGAAGTATACAAACACAAATTTGAAGATGCACGATATATCCAGTGAATTTCCAATTATTTGCAATAACACAAAATAGACAAACTTTGGCTGGGTCACACTTTCATCACAATTTTTTAAAAAGTTATCACTAAGCTTCTAACATTATAAAGTAGGCTGATGAGTAGTAAGTTTAAAGTCTTCCTAACTACCCTCTTGTGGAGGGCACTTAAGAGAAATGAAATTGTGAAAAGCAACTGGGAAGGAATAGCCAGACCCATTATTCTAGACAATTACGAGCTCAGTCAACTACAAACTCTGAAAAAATAGGAAAGAGACGTTTTCTCCCTTTTTCTCTGCCAGACACTACAGCAGCTTTAGAATTAGAGAAAACAGAATCAGCAGGCTATTAATTCTATAGCACTGTGCAATAAGTTCACATTTTTGGATGTCATGTCCCATGTGAAGAGTAATTCTAAGTACATAATTTTTGGTAACAACTAAATTTCATATTTACTTGAAAACTTTAAAAAACAAAGCAACAAAAATGTTACTTTTTTTTAAAAGGTAGGGGGAGCTGCGAATGATGGTGCATCCCTGTAATCTCAGCATGCTGGGAGGCTCAGGAAGGAGGATTACAAGTGTGAGCCCAGCTTGGGCAACCTAGCAATGTAGCAGGACCCTGTCTCTAAATAAATGGGAAAAAAGGTGGGGGCTGGGTATGCAGCTCAGTGGGAATGTCCTAGGTCCAATCTCTGGTACTGTAAGATAGATAGGTAGGTGGGCAGAAAGATGGGAAAGGGGATATAGTCCACGCATGCCACGACCTATAGGAACAATTATTACAAGTCGCTGCCCTTTTATAAAGACTGCTGTATTGGGGCTAAAAGGAATCTTTCTATCCAGATACCACATAACAGCTTTTCTAAACAGAGGTGAATAATCAGATCTGGACCACTGGTCTTAAGATGAAAACAAGAGTAGATGAATTCCACACCTATCCTGAAGCAGCAAAGCGTAATGGTGTAGAGTTAGGTAGTAAAACCAGAATGACACAGTTAACAATTTCACCTCCACCACAGAAGAGCTATGTTACTTTAAGCAACTATTAGTCTCCAGTTATGCACCTGAAAAGGGGCAGAAGACTAGGATGGAACTTATTAAAGGTTGCTGACAAATTAGACATGCTAGTATTTTATACAGCGCACACAACAGCGGCTAGCACATGATTAACGCCACTGCGGTAACTCGCAATTCCTTCTACTCCTCTGTCCAGAGACCAGAGGGGCTGTCTTCGGCCAAACGAAAGGGCGCTAAGTTCCAGTAAGGGACAGGTACAAACAAAAACTTGAGAAATCTAAGAATTTGTTTATTTAGTCTCTCAGCTGCAAACTTATTCATACCATGAATGTACAAGGAAGGCTGTTGGCAATGGGAAAACTACAGGAGAGAAAATTCATTCCACAGAACCATTTTTCTTGCCTTTCCAGATCAAATCCCTTAAAAGCAGTTTCTACCACTTGGAAAAGTTACTCTTTCCAAATTCTGCCTCTACGTCCCATTCCTAACAATTTATAACACAATACGTCATGCTCTTATTATCTTTATTTCATATATTAAATAGTAAACATTTTTATATACAACTCAGTTATTCTCTAATTTTAAGTTAAACTACAAAAAACAGAGGGCAAGTTTGAGGCCAGCCTTGAGTAGAAGGTGAGTTTGAGGCCAGTCTGAACTATGTAGCAAGACCATGTCTAAAAAATCCAAAACAAAACCAAAAAACTCAATAACAAATAAACAAAGGGAAATGTTGAATTTTCAACTCTGTTGTACAGTTTTCGAAGTTAACACTTATTTTTGATCACTGAATAGGTGACCTGCCTTTAGAAGTAGAGAATATCTACTTTTCATTAGCTTCCAGTTATTTTCTTCCCCATGAAACGATCAGCTTTATGACTATGGCTTAAAACCATAAAATATAGCCAGAACACCATACCTATTTTTAAGGTACTGATAATGCATTCTGTAGATCACATAAAAATCTAACATAAACTACTGGGGGAATTATAGAAACATAGCCAATTTGTTTGTTTTTTGAGGAAGGATCTCATTACATAATTCAGGTTGGCCTTGAACTATGTAGCCCAGGCTACCCTAAAACTCACGGCAACCCTCCTGCCTTGGCTTCCCGAGTGCTGCGATTATAGGTGTATACCACCACACCCACTACTAATTATTAACATACTAAAATATTTTTAAATTTTCAAATTCTACTTATGAAGGAGATATAATAGTGATATAAATGACTTGCTTGTTTTTTTAATAATCTTTCCTTTCCTCTCTTATCCATTTCCCCCCGCTTACCTCACCAACGAGCATTTCATATATAAGTACTCCAAGGCCCCACCAATCTACAGCCCTCGTATAGGATGTTTCTGTTAATACTTCTGGAGCAAGAAATTCAGGAGTGCCACAAAAGGTGCTTGTTCTATCTCCATATCCCATTCCTGTTGGCAAAGAAAAAGACACAGCATAAAAATTAGAAGGCAAATGAAAGTTCGGTGCATGGTGATCAAACTCAGATACATCACAGACCTTTTTGTCCCAAATAAAAAATATGGTACGGAGTATTACGGAAGAAACTGCAACAGGACACGGAAGTTTCACAGACAAAAAACAAGCTGTGAAAACAAGAGGCTAAGGACAGATTCTGAGAAACTGAAGTATTTAAATCAAGAGTCCAACACAGAGACGTCCCAGTACAGAAAAACTGTTGCTGGGTTCATCCATTAGGAGACTGGAGATACAGGATGGAAATATATTTTCAAAGTTCGTGTATTTGTCCAACTACAATACTCACTGACCACTTAAGATGTAACAAAAGGCACCGTTCTATGTGCTATGAAAACAAAGCTGAAATAGACAAAGCTGAAACAAGAAGCTACCAGTGTAGACAGAGAGACGGCTACTGTTCATTATAGTATATTAGACGTAAAGGTGAGAGTATCTACGTGTAACATGCATGCCTCACATTCTAACAGCACTTCTATCCACTCAAGTTGAGGATACAGTTTTAAAGAGAAGAAAGAAATTTGTAAAGACACACAGTAAGTAAGTGGCAAAGCCAAGATTCAGCCTTAGGATTATCTTGTACCTAAAACCATGATTTCTATGTTTCTTTTTTCTTCCTTTCCTTTCCCCTTCCTCTTCCTCCTTTTCTTTTCTTACCTCTCTCCCTCTCCCCGAGTCCCTCTTTGTTAGACAAGAGTGTTCCTGTGGAGCCTAGGCTGGCCTAAAACTTAAGATCCTTCTGTTTCAGCCTCCTCCTGAATGCTGGGGTAACAGGTGGATACCACCATCCCTGGCTTCTTTATGCTTTTTAAGTGAATTCTGAATGAAATTTCCCTCATTTACTTTTAAATATACAGAAAACATTCTTGAGGCAATCATATAATCTATGTATTTTTTCCTATTTAGAATATTAATAGTTCTCAGAAGGTAGGCGAAGTTATCAGACGTATATAATTCACTCTGCACAGCCCCAAAAGATTCAATAATTGGTGTTTAGTATTTCCTTAGGATAATGACAGAATTATAATAAAAAGAGAATTTTAGTCTTATATGGAGGTTTTGGAATCCTAACATATGTATCCACAGAAAAAAATTCTTAATGTGATAAACAGGTTATATGAACAATCCAAAATGTCTTAATGAAGAATACGTTTAAAATTATTTTTCCACAGATAAACTTACAAACTACCAAATTACAAGGGCATATGTTAGAAAAGAAACATAAAAACCCAATTACCTTCTTTGCAAAGACCAAAATCAGCAATTTTCACAAAGCCTTCTGTGTCTAGTAATAAGTTATCCAATTTCAAATCTCTGCTCAGGATGAGAAAATGAAAAACGAAAACGAAAACAAACAGTAGATAACACAGTAAATAAATCATTTCAATGGGAGCCCTACTTTCTCTTTTCTACCAGCAGGTTTCACAAGATACAATTTGAGATTTAAATGCTGTATCACAAACATTTAATTTTCTTTCTATTATGATGTTTGTTGCTCTATACAAGGGTCTCTAAGTACTTTTCCTTCTGTTAATAGAAAAGGCAGAATGTATTTTAAAAGGAGTATTTTCTCTTTTTAGATGAACATATTTTGATCTACCTTTATACCATCATAGTAAGTTTTGTAAGAGAATGATGCAAAACAGTAAAAAAGTTAATTGATTACAAATTAAACCAGTCAAAAACATTTTATCCTTTAAGTAGAAGCATGAGGAAATCCATATCTTGAAATACTGCTGGAAGTTTGAAATAAATCAGTGTTCTGATTCTGAAGATTTCCCGTCATTTGCTTGGCTTTGAGCAGTATTATTTAATATAATGATCTTCGAATAGCAGTGCTATTCAATGTGGGATATGAACTAGTGGTTTGCAATCTGATATGGAGCATGTGCCAGTACAAAAACTGGCTGTCACTCATACACTGTTTAATTTGGATGACAGCAAGGTCATTTTTTTCTTCATGATACTAGAGATCAACCACATTCTACTACTACTACTCAGCTATGCCACTGAGCTCTGCCCTTGTTCTCTTAAACTTTTTAATAAAGGAAGCCTCTGGGACAAGCTACTTATCAGTATTGACCTACAGAGGTTTTCTACAGTGGCTTAGCAGAATGCAAAATGTTCCCTAGGATGAACACTTGGTGAACTGTGTCATGACAGGCCAATTCATAATTTCACTATTTTAATTAGGAAATGGCAGAGGATCTGGAACTAAGAAGTTCATCATACAGCTTTTGTGTTGACCATACATCTTTCAAATTAGAGTCTGACTTATCACATGAAGGAGAAAATTAAGCTGGCTAAACATAAGATACCCTTCTAAATTATCTTTAATTCTGATTCTAACAAGTTAAGTGACTAGGAGGAATGAAAATTTTACTTACCTATAAACAATTTTGTGTTCATGTAAATATTGCAACCCAAGAACTACACATGCAGCATAAAATCTGTTCGAAGAATTAAACCAAAAGTTAACAAACTTCGTGAATCCTAGCTTAATATTTTTATGCTTCAAAACAAAACTCTGTGGTTAATTAATTTTAAAGGTATTTATTTAGTCCTTACTATGTACAACACACTATAGTACACATAAAGGGTAAAATTAAAACATGAAACAATATAGTCTACAACAGAAGCCATTGATTTTGCCTGGTAGAGCCACTGTGACCCAGAGAGGACATCTGATCTAGCTCTGAAGGATTATAATGTGCCACAAGCATAGAAAAGACAGAGTGACAAGTTTTACAGGGGAAAATACAGGATAGGGTACTCCCAGGTAGAGGTGTGACAACTGATAATGTGTTTACTGTCCTTAAAATAAAGAGTGGGTATATATGGAGAAGAAGTAGGACATTAGGATGAAAAGACAGCCTGACTGAAGGATCTGGAAAGTCACACTATGGATACTGACATTTCTTCTTTTTGTTGTTGTTTGAGACAGGGTCTTGCTTTGTAATTTGGGTTGGCTCTGAACTCACTACGTAGCCCAGGTTGGCCGCATGGTGATCCTCCTGCCTCTTCGTCTCGAGTGCTGAGGTAATAGTCATGTGCCACCATGCTCAGCTTCTCTTTGTGATAGAGAAACGAACCATTTTAATCAGTGGACAATGACCACATTTACATTAGGAAACTTTTCCTGACAGCAGTGTGGAGACTGGAGCACATGTATGTAAAGATCCAGAGAGAAAAAGACACAAGGCTTTTATGCTAGCACAGATGAATAATAAGAACGTCCACTTTAGTGGTAACGAAGAGATTAATAGATGGATTCAAGAGAAGCTTGAAAAATTGTCATGACAGGACATGGAGTCTTATTAGCTGTACAGGACGAAGCTGCAGGAAGAACTAAAGATGACTCCCAAGGGTTCCACCTTAGTGAAATGAATAGGTAAAGAAATACAAAGGTTGTCCAAGTTTTTTGGGGAAAATAAATTTGGCTTAGGTATTTTGACTTTGAATTCCCTGCAGGGGAGGTGACAACATCTGGAAGTTTGATATATAGATTTGGAGCTCAGGAAAATTTGGGCCTAGCTAGAATGTTAACTTTTTGCGGGGTGGTGTACTGGGGATTGAATCTAGGGCCTTTTCACTGAGAAACATCTCTAGCCCATTTTTACACTTTGTTTTGAGAGAAAGTCTTGCTGAGTCACTTAGCTGCCCTCAGGCTGAGCTCAAAATTGTGATTTTATTAGTTTAGTCTCCCAGTACGCTGGGATTACAGGTGTGTACCCAACATTCAGCTTAGATTATTAACTCTCCAGGCATGGGGACTTGTTTGTCTTTTTCAATTTTTAATACATATCGCCTAAAATACATAAATACACTAATACATAATGCCTAAAATATAACAGGTGAAGAATAAATGAATGCATTATAAAATGCACATCTATAAACACTTAGCAAAACTAGTTTTTAATGAAGAATATTTTCTCTATAAAATACACATAATGCTCACTTCTCCTAAAGTAGAACATTTCACTCATCTATCCATCCATCTCTCCCGAACTCCACTGTCATCCTTGTAGATAAATACCCCTGTGAGTCTGGTGAGCGTTCTTTCCAACTTTTAGACTATGTTAATACCCACATGTAAATTCTCCTTTTATTTTATAAAAATCAAAGCATAATTTAAAAGAAAAAACCCAACTATTTAGAAATGTGTTATTTCTATCTCAGATCTGACATAACATCTATTTTATTTTTAGTAGCATTATTTTTGTATTTTTGATAGAGCTCTTGCAATGTAGTTCAGGCTGACCTGGAACTCACTACGTAAGCCCAGGCTGTAGTGGAACATACAATAATCCTACTTCAGCCTCCTGAGAGGTGGGATTACAGCCACAAGATACTATGACTGGCAACTTACCAGGTTAAAGGGATTATATGAAGTTTGTTAAAATAAACATTATGTAATTGCTCAAGACAGTTATTTGTAAACCATTTTTGGTGGCAGAAAATATTGTAACATAAATCATGTTGATTATAGTCAAGAAATCATTGGGTATGTTATCTAACATATATATTCCACCAAATGCTTACTATGTGTCAGGTATTTTCATTCACAGCTTAATCTTCAAATTAAGCCTTAATATAAATACCTCAGTCAGAAAACAGCAAAGCTAGGAATTGAACTACTTGATCCATAGTTTCAGTCAATACCACTCCAGATTGCTTTAGATGTGGCACGTCCTCTTCCAGTGTTTCACTAGTGAAGAGGCAGATATAGTACCTGCCCTTTCAGTGAGGGGATCAGATGATAAAAACATTAATAATAACTAAGGTGACTTTAGGTAGATATACAACAGTATGAAATAACACAGAAAATAGGAGAGTGATCTGTTTGAGGTTAGTGATATATGGAGTACTCACGAGAAGTCCTTTAATGAAAGGACATTTAAGCTGGGACCTTAGTGTTTAGAGGGATTAGATTTGGAATATGGTGATGTAGCATTTTATGTTTACACTTCAGTGGGCTGGCTTCATTTATGTACAATTTATGTTCTCAACAAAAATAATAGGTCCTTAAGGCAGAACTATATTTTATTTCCTTAGAAAACAAAACCAAATATATAAAACAAAAATAAATTTACAAGGTAGTTAGAGCAACTATCTTCCTTTAGTTTTCTAACTATTCAGGGAATAATTAATAGTAGCTTTTATTACTTTCTGACTTCCCTCTGTTTTGAATGCTTCACAACCCATCAGAACTAATCCCTATTTCTTCATTTGAACTTCAAGGCTGCTACAATACCAGTACTGTCTGTTCTATAGACCTCTAATAGTTATGATGAAAATCCAGTAACAGTGGGAAAGTGTAACACAAATGTCAGTTGCTACTTCATCAGAAGATAAAGGTACTGCTGAATTTATGTTTTTGTGATCTGTGTATACTCTGGAGATAGAGCTGACTAATCGTGTTCATGATGTGGTTGTTGTAAATGGAGGGGAAAAGACAATCAAGAATGACTCCCTGGTCAGTAGCGATGGCAAGTGTATGTCTGTAATCTCAGCTACCTAGGAAGCTGAAGCAGAAGGGTCAAGCTCAAGGACAGCCTATACTTAGTTAAGACCTTGTACCAAAACAAAAATAAAAAAGGATGGGGATGTAGCTCAGTGCTCTATGGGTTCAAACCCTGGTTGATGTAAACAAAACAAAATGAAACTCCCTGCAGTCTGTCTTCAGCAACAGGTAGGTACTACTGCTATTTAAAAAAAAATGAGGGAAACTAGGACAGTAGTAGGTGTGGAGAGTGGTAGTAAGGTAGAAAGGGGGATGGGAAAAATCAAGAGATCAGTTTGTGATGTTAAGTGAGATGCTTTTTAGTCCTGTAGATGGAAAAGTTGGCCCTGATCTAAATACTACTACAGTTAGAGGCTTAGGGAAAAGATCAGGACTATAAATCTAAATTTGATAAATATCAGCATTTAGAGTGGTAGCTATTAAAATCAGGGTAACATGGAAAATAAATACACAAACTGTAAATGCACATATACTCTCCACTATTTAGTATTACTGATTTTTATATACTTTAACAAGCAAAATTCTAATATACTACAGAAATAAACTATAATAAAGGTTTACAGTGTAAAGCCTGTAAGTATTGGAGGCAATGTGTACACAGCTTGAGCATCCCTAAATGAAAATCTGAAATCTGACATGTTCCAAAACCTGACATTCTGAGCACTAATACAATACGGAAAAGTTTGGGATTTTGAAGCATTTCAGATTTTTGGATTAGGCAGACTCAACTATGCAAATATTTCAAAATATAAAAAATCCCCCAATCTAAAACACTACTGGTTTCAAGCATTTCAAACAAGGGGCACTCAGCCTGTATCAATTTCCTTTATATTTGTTCAGAGATTTTATGAAGTTCAAGTATGTGGGTACTTGATGTATATAAGTAGTTCATTATATATATTTCTGCCTCAGCCTCCCAAGTGTTGGGATTACAGGTGTGTGCCACCATGCCCAGCATGCAATTTGTTGTTAATATCATAGTCCTGGATGTCATTTCCTAGGGAGAACATCTGATAGAAACAAAAAATGCTAAAATGAACCTAGGCTGGTTATCTACATTAAATATGATTTGGGATAATCCATGAAATTTTCAAAGTGGACAACATAATAAATAAATACAAAAAGTACCTAGCAAAAAAAACAAGAAATTCTAGTACTTCTTACTATGACCTATTTTCCATTAGGAAAAAAAAAAATCTAAAATTCACAGTGAGCTCTTTCTCCTCCCAAAAAGAAATCAGTCAGGGAAACACTCAGACAAATGGCTAAAGCATACTCACACAGCTCTTGGTTCAGAAAAGACATCAGTATGAATGTGCATCATTAGGTCCCCACCGGCAGCATATTCCATTACAAAGCAAACATGCTCTTTGGTTTGGAAACATGCAAAAAGGTTCACCAAGAAGGGATGCCTTACACTGTTCACAGTTTCAAAAATTCTTTTTTCGCACATCAGGCTGTAAGAGAAAAACATTTAAAAATAAATAGGATCTTTAAAAAATTTTAGTTGGAAATAACTTTCTTTAAAAATTACTAAAACAAATTCTTTAACTATTGTAACTTTAAAAATCATGGAATACTTTTTGCTGTATGTGCTATGAGACTGTTCTACTATTCATGTAATTGAAATATATTAATGAAAAGTACAAAATAACTCCTATGACCTACAGACTGCAGTGTTCACCTTGACAGCATCAGAATGGCACACACGGATACTGGTCATAGTTAACCTTCGCCTGTATATTTTTAAAGACATTTCTTCACCAGAGAAATTAGTAAAGAATTTCTCTGCCACTCACATTACTATAGTCCTCACTCGGAGTTTGAAACCTAAAATATTTAAAAAAATTTAAAATTTGTGACCAAGGTAATTTCAAGTAATGTATTCATAATTCCTAAGTATATACTCAACTTTTTAATATAAAATATGAAATTGAAAGGCATAAAATCTCATGTAGAAAAGTGGAAAATAAGGAGCCTATGCAGAGAATTCTATAACATGCTTCAACTTCCTTAAACAATGTAATTTTTTTATAATATCATAGAAAAATCTATGTAATCACAAATTTCTCGTATAAGAACTAAGACAATTTATTAAAAAGAACAGTAGTAAAACTTACTAATGTGAATTGCTAACTTAGCCCTAATAGCAAAACCAAAACACCTCTTTAAAAATATTACATTAATTTAACTTAAATTGCAAAGTAGAAGAAAACTAGGTTAAATGTATTTCCAGTAAAACTTGAATTGATCTTATTTTTAGTACTTGCTCAAACTAAAGATCAGTAGACACACCTTTTTGCTATATGTGTGTTTCTTGTGCTTCTAACACTATTCTGAATGTTGAAGACGAACTGGTGAGAAAGAAATCTGAGTGAGGACTATAGTAATGTGAGTGGCAAGAGAGGGGACTCGGACAGTGCTCAACCAACAGCGGGCAGACTGCGTATGATCTCTCTACATAAATTACGTTGGTTTTCACATATTTTATGCTCATTTAAAATGAGGTTGAGTCAGAATATTCTACAAACGATGCAATGACAGCAAATAGAAAGAGAAATAAAAGCACTAGCCGGGTGTGGTGGCGCATGCCTGTAATCCCAGCACTCAGGAGGCTGAGATAGGAGGAAGACCATGAGTTCAAGGCCGGCTTGGGATCCACAGTGCGTTCAAGATGAGCTTGAACTACACACTGAGACCGTGTCTCAAAAAGACTATATAAAGCATTAGATAAAACTTTTGAAAAACAAATATTAATGTCAATTTTTTGTTCCACTCTTAAAACTAAAACCAGAAAATATGTCTATTTTGTATTAGCTTTAAGGTTTTACCATATCTAAGAGAAAACAAGAAAAAATTCAATTTAAAAAACAGACCAGCATATATTTAGAATATATATTACTCACAAATATGAATAAGAAAATAAATCAAACTAATTATAAATAAGCAGAAAATTGCATGAAAATTACTCCTTTTTCCTGCCTTCCTCAAAGTTTTCTAAGAGTGAGTTTTCTTACTCTTAAAAACTTTCCATTTTTCAATTTTGTACCAGTTTTACTTGAAATTATTTTATTTTCATGTTACTGAAAAAAGCAAATGTCTAAAACTGAAGTTCAATAAGGGTTGTTCATTAAGGCTGGCTTCATTTTCAGTCGGCGTATTGGCCTACGTCTTAGCTATAGCATCATTCTGTACACTTTATTTAATATTACCTCTAGAGTTAATTAGAAAGTGCTTCCCTATAAAAACTGGGCACCAAGTGGTAACAATGTAGCAGAAAGCTACACAAATAACCAGGATTAGCAGCAGTGAAAGTTGAATATCCCTTGTGTAAAATACTTGTGACCATAATTGTTTTAAATTTTGGAATATTATGTATATATAATGACATATCTTGGGGATGGGGATCCAACTCTAAACACAAATAGGTTTCATATATATTTCATATACATAACCTGAAGATAATTTTATAACAATATTTTAAGTAGTTTTGTGTATGGAACAATTTTGTTTTGAGCTGTTAGAATTTGTGGCATTATGCCCACGCTCAAAAATTTAAGAGGATTTTAGATTTCAGATTAGGGATTAGCTTCTAACCAATTTTTTGGGGCAAACAAATTTATCATTAGAATTGCAGAATAAAGCAAATACTGTATTATTCCAGGAAAGAAAATCTTCTGATCCTTCTGTTATTGCCAAGTATAAACAGACTGAAGATAGGATCAAAGATTTGCTTAAATAATCTGTTTATGGAACGTAAGAACATACTTTTAAGCATGTAACATGGTGCTCAGAGTGTTTTATAAATAGCTAACAAAAATCTTCTCTAATTCTAGATATCAAGAAAGTATTTATTTTCATGTATCCGAAGAATATAAGAATAAAAAACAGAAGCAAAAAGTAAGTAGGTAAATCTACAAAGGAAAACATTTCAAACATAAATAAAAACCCTCAATCTTTAAAGACTTGTCTTAATTCTAAGAACTACTTATATGTGGGAAAAATGTTAAAAGTAGCAATTTCACTCAGTAATGCAAGTGCTATCAAAATGTACACTTAATACATGGATTAAATGAGGCGCAAAGATGTTCACTGAAGGACTAGAAGAGTTATTTGCCTCACTCACAGTTTGGGGCTCCTTTCATTTTACACAACTGTTTTTCATTAGACACTTCCTGGTGTTGAAAGAAAAATACTACTAAATAGCAAATGAAAGTCTCCATGATAAACATGTTATCTGTGGGGCTGGGGATTTAGCTCAGTGGCAAAGCACTTGCCTGGCAAGTGCAAGGTTGTGAGTTCGATTCCTGGTACCAGAAGAAAAACAAAAACAAAAACAAAAAACAAAAATAAACATGTTATTTGTATATAATAATCCCCCTATGTGAGAGTCATTTTATTTCTTTTCTATAATTTTTCTTTTTGTATCAGGAATCAAATTCAGGACCTCACGCTTGCCAGGCTGGCGCTCATGCCACTGAGATACATCCCCAGCCCTTGAGAGTCATTTTAAACTACATTCTCTGACCCAATTACAATCTTTATTGCCAAAGTCTTTGCATTTTAATAATTATATGAAAATATGAATCCACAACAATTCATATTTTCAGAAAGCTAATGTACTATTGTCAAAAAATATGATTTTAAAGAAAAATAGAGGAAAAAAGGGTAAAAAGCAGAATATATTAACTATTCAGGTAACTGCAGAATATCTAGAAATGACATTCTATTAGTCTGTACAATTAAATGAGATAAAGCCTTACTGAACCATAAATGAGTAACAATTTGTATCCTAATTAAACACTTTAACATCTTCATTAACCTTTTTCTTATGTTGAAAACAAAGTAACAACAATAGAGATAAAAAAAAAACAACACAAAAACAAAAATGATACAGAATTTTAAAACAAAATGACAGGTTATTAACAATGGTTGTTGGGGCTGGGGATTTAGCTCAGTGGCAAAGCACCTGCCTGGCAAGTGCAAGATCGTGAGTTCAATTCCTGGTAC